TGCTGAAAAACTGGAATAGTCACACAATAATAACGTGATGTATCCAACGAGAAAAGTCTTGAACAAATCCACAAGGGCCGTGACGAGGATTCGAACCTGCGTCCGGGAGCATCCCAGACACTGCCTTAATCGACTGAGCTACGACAGGGTTAAAAGGGTTGAAACCGAAGTTCTACTGAACTTACTGGATCCCGTAGCTTCTCCGAGGCACAAACCAGGATTTTACACAAACCCCCCCCCCCCTGCACCCGAGCTATGTCAATAGGCCGTTCTCCCTCTTCGCCCTTACATCATTACCCTGTCGTAGCTCAGTCGATTAAGGCAGTGTCTGGGATGCTCCCGGACGCAGGTTCGAATCCTCGTCACGGCCCTTGTGGATTTGTTCATTTGATGCATCACATTAGTGTGATCTCTGTGTGTAATGAGAAACGTCTTCTTTGGCGCTTTTAAGCATATCGTGGTACAGTGGGTAATGTGTGCGTCTGGGGGGGGGGTGACCTAGGACGAGGGTTCGACTCTACCGTAGTGCTCCAGATCATTTTGTCTTGGCATAGTTAATTATTACATATTTTGTTCAATGTATAATTATGTGTATATAGTACTTGATAATATACACATTAAAGTTCAAACTTTATTCATAAATTGTTGTATATTTATAATTAGCTTTGTGAATTAATTTCAAACGTATTAGTCACTTAGTGGACTAAGTGACAAAAAAGGGAGGACAAAAAATCTAGTATCAGATTAGGGGACAAAAAAGGAGGCCTGGTCGAGGACCGGACCCCGGGGACGTTAAGCCCCGAAATCATCATACCCCCCTCCTTAACATGGGGGGGGGGGATTGTTTGTGTCATAAGCAGGTCGGAGTCGGCCCAAGTGCCATCATTAATAAATATCGGAATCTACAGCACCCCCCCCCCAGACATTTTCATGATTTTCTGAAATAAAATAACTTTTATACATGTAGTTATTGTGTTTTACTCCCGCCGTTTACCCGCGCGCTTTCATGGTTTAATCGAAAAAGATGAATTCGTCTGGGCTTCAGTTTTACATTTCCCGAGGCAGAGATAGAGGGAAGGGGGGAGAGAAGAAAAGGAGAGGAGAAGGGTGGAGCGAGACCCGGGCACCGCCGGGTACCGCAGGGTACCACCGGGTACCACAGGGTACCACAGGGTACCACCGGATACCACAGGGTACCACCGGATACCACCGGGTACCACCGGGTACCACCGGGTACCACAGGGTACCACCGGATACCACAGGGTACCACAGGGTACCACCGGGTACCACAGGGTACCACAGGGTACCACCGGGTACCACCGGGTACCACAGGGTACCACCGGGTACCACCGGGTACCACAGGGTACCACAGGGTACCACCGGATACCACAGGGTACCAAACGTGGGCGAGTGGTCACCACTGTCATTACATCTTGGAACATAATGCTCTTTCCTTCGATTGACCGCCTCAGTGTTAGTGATCACTATTATTGTTGTGACTGTAGTGATGAGGGCCGTCGCCGCTCTCACACTGCTGTAATGCATCCACGCTGAGGTTGAACAGCCTTGTTTGAACGTGTGTGCTGGCTCCAAATATTGTAACAGCCTGTTGATATTTTTCCGGCAGTGTCTTCGCTGCGCCAAGGCCCATCATTACTCCATTACACGAGGGTAATGTGTCGTGTAGAGTGGATAGTTCTAATTCTGAAGAGCACTAAATATTGTCAGTGACAGAGCAGACGGAGAAGGTGAAGCTGTCTTCGTGGGACCCCGCCAGGAGGTGAAGCTGTCTTCGTGGGACCCCGCCAGGAGGTGAAGCTGTCTTCGTGGGACCCCGCCAGGAGGTGAAGCTGTCGTCGTGGGACCCCGCCAGGAGGTGAAGCTGTCTTCGTGGGACCCCGCCAGGTGAAGCTGTCTTCGTGGGACCCCGCCAGGAGGTGAAGCTGTCTTCGTGGGACCCCGCCAGGAGGTGAAGCTGTCTTCGTGGGACCCCGCCAGGAGGTGAAGCTGTCTTCGTGGGACCCCGCCAGGAGGTGAAGCTGTCTTCGTGGGACCCCGCCAGGAGGTGAAGCTGTCTTCGTGGGCCCCCGCCAGGAGGTGAAGCTGTCTTCGTGGCCCCCGCCAGGAGGTGAAGCTGTCTTCGTGGGACCCCGCCAGGAGGTGAAGCTGTCTTCGTGGGACCCCGCCAGGAGGTGAAGCTGTCTTCGTGGGACCCCGCCAGGAGGTGAAGCTGTCTTCGTGGGACCCCGCCAGGTGAACCTGTCTTCGTGGGACCCCGCCAGGAGGTGAAGCTGTCTTCGTGGGACCCCGCCAGGTGGTGAAGCTGTCTTCGTGGGCCCCCGCCAGGAGGTGAAGCTGTCTTCGTGGCCCCCCGCCAGGAGGTGAAGCTGTCTTCGTGGGACCCCGCCAGGAGGTGAAGCTGTCTTCGTGGGACCCCGCCAGGAGGTGAAGCTGGGTGCTTCAAGCTGGCTGGGAAGCCCGCGTGTTATTGCATGCTCCTTGATAAATCATTCTACAATTAAACTGGCGGAGTTTCCATGGAGGTGCCGCCGCAGGTGAGGCGCGAGGGGTGGGGTCGTGGTTGTGTGTTGGGGGGGTGGAGGACTGGGGCGGGGGGGGCGGGGGCAGGATGTTACCCTCCACTAGAGGAAGGAGGAGGAGGAGGGGGGGGGGGGGGGTGCGCCCTCGGGGTCACCTCACAGCCTCGTTACACTTGTACTTAACACTTGTACTGCTCTTGTTGATTTTAAGGGGAGGTCGTCCTGTACTGCCCCCACCTTCAGTCTGTGTTTTTAGGGTGTACTGGGCCCCTGCAGCTGGATACTTGTTGATTGTTAGGGTGTACTCGCACCGGCTGGTTCAGTCTGTGGTTGAACAGTCGTGTAGGGTGTACTGGGCCCCTGCAGCTGGTTCAGTCTGTGGTTGAACAGTCGTGTAGGGTGTACAGTCACTGGCTGAAGTAACCAAAATAAAGTAAGCCATTGGCTGAGAGGAGGCTATAAGGAGGAAGCAATAGGCGTTGATACAGTCAAGAGCAGCGAGGCTTAGCATAATTACTCAGCATATATTGTGCTTGCTACTCAATTACACAAGTCCCAGTGTTAATTTGTGCAGTGATACCACCTGGCCGGGCACGCGGAGGAGGAGGCGGCAGGTGGTGGTGATGGAACCACCTGCGTGGTAGTCAGATGGTGGTGGTGATTGATTGATGAAGATTAAGCCACCCAAAAGGTGGCACGGGCATGAATAGCCCGTAAGTGGTGGCCCTTTTGAGCCATTACCAGTATCAAGAGATGATACTGGAGATCTGTGGAGGTGCGACTGCACCCTGCGTGACGGGAGATGTCTCCCGGACCAAATGGTGACCAGATGGTGGTGATGGTGGTGGTGACCGGGGGGGGGGGGTTAAAGAAATGAGGTTACCAGGTGGTGGTGAGGGGAGGTGGGGGGGGGGAGGTGAAGCACTCCACACGGGGGATAATTGTTGCCAGGTAGGAGTGTGTACACCCAGGTGAGGCGGGGCCCAATGGCCAGGTGCAGGGCGGGTCGGTCGGCTCAGGAGCAGTCGGGGAGTAGCAGGCCCTGCTCTTTTAAGCTTTGGGATTAGTCTACACGTTTAAAATACGAGGGCTGTGAGAGATGCCCCGGTGAAGGGCATCTGAAATGGAAGGAATTTCTCTCTCAACCCAAACATGCCTAGGATGCAGCCTGTACCCAGCTGTCTAGCGCCCAGGTCCCTGTTTACTGCTAGGCGAATAAAGGTATTAAGTGGGAAAACTGCCCATTTGTTTCTGCCTCGACGTGGAATCTAACGCGGGACCTTTAGTCTGTGACTCGAGTGCTGTCCTTATGTATACACCAGCCTGTATGGCTGGTGTATGGTCTCCATACATCAGGAGAAAGCTACTAAGCCTTTCTCTTGATCCTGCTATTGTTCCTGTGGGGTTGCTTACCTTGCAATTACCTTTGTTGATTCCCAGGATCCATCGTCCCTGCGACCCGGTCTCTGACTAGGCCTACTGATTGGTCTGGTCTGGTCAAGCAGGCTGTTAGATGCAGCTGCTGGCTTCCCGGTTGATCAGGTAGCCTTTGGAGGTATTTATCATTCTTTTTCCGAGCCGCATGGGATGTGGACTAGTTACGCCTCTCGTGTGAGGCGGGAGAGTGTTGAACAAGTCTTGGCCACTAATGTTGATAATGGGGTTTATAAATCAATGACAAATACAGCTTCTAAATCTAAATTATGCAGCATAATTATAACAATTACGTGTTCTGCTGTTATAACTTTCTCTTAGGTAAATAATGTACTGTAATTTTGTGTAAAACTCGATTATAAATGTTCAATTACGAACAGAGTTTTTGAAACTGAACGAAGAGTAATTGTGGTTTAGGTTCATCTTGTCATCGTTCAGTGGGAGCGTGCGGTCCTTGTACATCATGGCCCCCGGCTCCAGTACCCTACTTTCACGTGTACATAGGGGTCGTGTATCGGTTGTAACACTACAGCTGTAACGGAGAACGGGTGGGGGGGGGTGAACTAGAGAGGTCACGGGCAAGCCAAACGTACTGACCTATCGCTTTACGGGTTATTCATGCCCATGCCACCTCTTGGGTGGCTTAATCTTTATCAATCAATCTACCTATCGCTGCCTACGTATCGCTTTACGGGCTATTCATGCCCGTGCCACCTCTTGGGTGGCTTAATCTTTATCAATCAATCTATCGCTGCCTACGGGAAAGTGAAATCTAGCTCTCTATACCCCGCCTACTGGCCTCGTTGTACCTGTTGCGTTATAATTTACTCTGACGGAAAATTGTGTCGAATCTATCTTTTAAAGTTGTGGATGGAGGTGGCTTCCACAACCTCTTCCTTCAGAGACTTAAACTTGGTTACCTCCCGTACAGTGGTTCAGATAATCCAAACCTCCTTATGTCGAGTATGGTTCTTCTCCACAAAACATTATCATTTACTATTTCAGTATTGGGTAAATAAACCGAGATACTCTTCCCGATGAAGTTTTGAAAGTAATATTGTGAAGATATTTCTTGACGAAAACTTGGAAGAAAAAACATTTCCCGCCATTGGTAAAGGAGAACGTGAACGGCGTAGAGTGATTTGAAAGTGTGAACTCCGACTTGAAATGGTGAAGGATGTATTGGAGTGAGGGAGGTCGCCGCCCCGTCGAGGACACCCCTCACCATCACCCTCACCATCACCTGGCGGGTGTCAGCCACATGTCTGCCCCGCCCCCACCCAACACCAAGGTCAGTGTCACAGTGCCACCAGCACCAGGCTCTCCAGTGCCACAGTAATACGCTCATGTCACACTAACGTGATGCATCAAATGAACAAATCCACAAGGGCCGTGACGAGGATTCGAACCTGCGTCCGGGAGCATCCCAGACACTGCCTTAATCGACTGAGCTACGACAGGGTAAAAGGGTTGAAACCGAAGTTCTACTGAACTTACTTAGGCTACGGGATCCAGTAAGTTCAGTAGAACTTCGGTTTCAACCCTTTTACCCTGTCGTAGCTCAGTCGATTAAGGCAGTGTCTGGGATGCTCCCGGAGTGGTGGTGTAGTGTGTGTGAGGTGTGTGTGGTGGTGTAGAGTGTGTGTGGTGCAGCTGTGTGGTGGTGTAGAGTGTGTGGTGGTGTGTGTGGTGTGTAGAGTGTGTGAGGCAGCTGAGTGGTGGTGTAGAGTGTGTGAGGCAGCTGAGTGGTGGTGTAGAGTGTGTGAGGCAGCTGAGTGGTGGTGTAGAGTGTGTGAGGCAGCTGAGTGGTGGTGTAGAGTGTGTGAGGCAGCTGAGTGGTGGTGTAGAGTGTGTGAGGCAGCTGTGTGGTGGTGTAGAGTGTGTGAGGCAGCTGTGTGGTGGTGTAGAGTGTGGTGAGGCAGCTGAGTGGTGGTGTAGAGTGTGTGAGGCAGCTGAGTGGTGGTGTAGAGTGTGTGAGGTAGCTGAGTGGTGGTGTAGAGTGTGTGAGGCAGCTGAGTGGTGGTGTAGAGTGTGTGAGGGAGTGTGTGTGTGTGGTGGTGTAGAGTGTGTGAGGTAGCTGAGTGGTGGTGTAGAGTGTGTGAGGCAGCTGAGTGGTGGTGTAGAGTGTGTGAGGCAGCTGAGTGGTGGTGTAGAGTGTGTGTGCAGCTGAGGTGTGGTGTAGAGTGTGTGTAGGAGCTGAGTGGTGGTGTAGAGTGTGTGAGTGAGCTGAGTGGTGGTGTAGAGTGTGTGAGGGTGTAGAGTGGTGGTGTAGAGTGTGTGAGGTAGCTGAGTGGTGGTGTAGGTGTGTGTGAGGTAGCTGAGTGGTGGTGTAGAGTGTGTGAGGTAGCTGTGTGGTGGTGTAGAGTGTGTGAGGGAGCTGAGTGGTGGTGTAGAGTGTGGTGTAGGCAGGTGTAGTGGTGGTGTAGAGTGTGGTGAGGGCAGCTGAGTGGTGGTGTAGAGTGTGTGAGGGTGCTGAGTGGTGGTGTAGAGTGTGGTGTAGCTGAGTGGTGGTGTAGAGTGTGTGAGGGTGCTGAGTGGTGGTGTAGAGTGTGTGAGGGAGCTGAGTGGTGGTGTAGAGTGTGTGGTGGAGCTGAGTGGTGGTGTAGAGTGTGTGGTGTAGAGTGTGGTGTAGAGTGTGTAGGAGTGTAGAGTGGTGGTGTAGAGTGTGGTGTGTGGTGGTGTAGAGTGTGTGAGGTAGCTGAGTGGTGGTGTAGAGTGTGTGAGGCAGCTGAGTGGTGGTGTAGAGTGTGTGAGGCAGCTGAGTGGTGGTGTAGAGTGTGTGAGGCAGCTGAGTGGTGGTGTAGAGTGTGTGAGGCAGCTGAGTGGTGGTGTAGAGTGTGTGAGGTAGCTGAGTGGTGGTGTAGAGTGTGAGGTGTGAGGTGTGGTGTAGAGTGTGGTGTAGTGTGGAGTGTGTGTGGTGTAGAGTGGTGGTGTGTGTGTGTAGAGTGAGTGGTGGTGTAGAGTGTGTGTGGGCAGCTGAGTGGTGGTGTAGAGTGTGTGAGGCAGCTGAGTGGTGGTGTAGAGTGTGTGAGGGAGCTGAGTGGTGGTGTAGAGTGTGTGGTGTAGCTGAGTGTGGTGTAGAGTGTGTGAGGTGCTGAGTGGTGGTGTAGAGTGTGTGAGGGAGCTGAGTGGTGGTGTAGAGTGTGTGAGGTAGCTGAGTGGTGGTGTAGAGTGTGTGGTGTAGCTGAGTGGTGGTGTAGAGTGTGGTGCTGAGTGGTGGTGTAGAGTGTGTGAGGGAGGTGAGTGGTGGTGTAGAGTGTGTGAGGGTGTGTAGGTGAGTGAGTGTGGTGTAGAGTGTGTGAGTGGTGTAGAGTGGTGGTGTAGAGTGTGTGTGTGTGTAGGGAGCTGAGTGGTGGTGTAGAGTGTGTGAGGTAGCTGAGTGTGGTGTAGAGTGTGTGTGTAGCTGAGTGGTGGTGTAGAGTGTGTGAGGCAGTAGAGTGGTGGTGTAGAGTGTGTGAGGTAGCTGAGTGGTGGTGTAGAGTGTGTGAGGTAGCTGAGTGGGTGTAGAGTGTGTGAGGTGGCTGAGTGGTGGTGTAGAGTGTGTGAGGGAGCTGAGTGGTGGTGTAGAGTGTGTGAGGTAGCTGAGTGGTGGTGTAGAGTGTGGTGTAGCTGTGTGGTGGTGTAGAGTGTGTGTAGGGTGGGTGTAGAGTGGTGGTGTAGAGTGTGTGAGGGAGCTGTGTGGTGGTGTAGAGTGTGTGTGTAGCTGAGTGGTGGTGTAGAGTGTGTGAGGTAGCTGAGTGGTGGTGTAGAGTGTGTGAGGTAGCTGAGTGGTGGTGTAGAGTGTGTAGGGAGTGAGTGGTGGTGTAGAGTGTGTGAGGTAGCTGAGTGGTGGTGTAGAGTGTGTGAGGGAGCTGAGTGGTGGTGTAGAGTGTGTGAGGCAGCTGAGTAGGGTGGTGTGGTGTAGGGTGTGGTGAGTGTGTGGTGTAGAGTGTGTGAGGCAGTGAGTGGTGGTGTAGAGTGTGTGGGTAGTGTGTGTGTGGTGAGTGTGAGTGGTGGTGTAGAGTGTGGTGAGGAGCTGTGTGGTGGTGTAGAGTGTGTGTAGAGTGTGGTGGTGTAGAGTGTGGTGTAGGGTGTGGTGTAGCTGAGTGGTGGTGTAGAGTGTGTGAGGAGTGAGTGGTGGTGTAGAGTGTGTGGTGTAGCTGTGTGGTGGTGTAGTGGTGTGTGAGGAGTGTGTGGTGGTGTAGAGTGTGTGAGGTAGCTGTGTGGTGGTGTAGAGTGTGTGTGGTGTAGAGTGGTGGTGTAGAGTGTGTGGTGTAGCTGTGTGTGGTGTAGAGTGTGTGAGGTGTAGCTGAGTGGTGGTGTAGAGTGTGTGAGGTGAGCTGAGTGGTGGTGTAGAGAGTAGTGTGGTGGTGTAGAGTGTGTGGTGCTGAGTGTGTGGTGTAGAGTGTGTGGTGGAGCTGTAGTGGTGGTGTAGGGTGTGGTGTAGGGTGTGGTGTAGAGTGTGCTGAGTGTGTGGTGTAGTGTGTGTAGGGTGTGGTGTAGTGTGGTAGAGTGGTGGAGTGTGTGTGGTGTAGAGTGTGAGGGTGGTGTGTGGTGTAGAGTGTGTGAGGTAGCTGAGTGGTGGTGTAGAGTGTGGTGTAGGGTGTGGTGTAGAGTGGTGGTGTAGAGTGTGGTGTAGGTGTGGTGTAGCTGTGTGGTGGTGTAGAGTGTGTGGTGTAGAGTGTGAGTGGTGGTGTAGAGTGTGTGGTAGAGTGTGTGTGGTGGTGTAGAGTGTGTGAGTGTAGTGTGGTGTAGAGTGTGGTGTAGAGTGGTGTAGGTGTGTGGTGTGTGGTGTAGAGTGTGGTGAGTGGTGGTGTAGAGTGTGTGAGGGAGTGAGTGTGGTGTAGAGTGTGTGGTGTAGCTGAGTGGTGGTGTAGAGTGTGTGTAGGGTGTGGAGTGGTGGTGTAGAGTGTGTGGTGTAGCTGAGTGGTGGTGTAGAGTGTGTGAGGTGAGCTGAGTGGTGGTGTAGAGTGTGTGGTGTAGCTGAGTGTGGTGTAGAGTGTGTGAGGTAGAGCTGAGTGGTGGTGTAGAGTGTGTGAGGTAGCTGAGTGGTGGTGTAGAGTGTGGTGTAGGGAGTGAGTGGTGGTGTAGAGTGTGTGAGGGAGCTGTGTGGTGGTGTAGAGTGTGTGTGGTGTGAGTGGTGGTGTAGAGTGTGTGAGGTAGCTGAGTGGTGGTGTAGAGTGTGGTGAGGTAGCTGAGTGGTGGTGTAGAGTGTGTGAGGGAGCTGAGTGGTGGTGTAGTGTGTGAGGGTGTAGAGTGGTGGTGTAGAGTGTGTGAGGGAGCTGAGTGGTGGTGTAGAGTGTGTGAGGCAGCTGAGTGTGGTGTAGAGTGTGTGAGGCAGCTGAGTGGTGGTGTAGAGTGTGTGAGGTGTAGTGTGGTGGTGTAGAGTGTGTGTGGTGTAGAGTGGTGGTGTAGAGTGTGTGAGTGAGCTGAGTGGTGGTGTAGAGTGTGTGGTGTAGAGTGTGTGGTGTAGAGTGTGTAGAGTGAGTGGTGGTGTAGAGTGTGTGAGGGAGCTGAGTGGTGGTGTAGAGTGTGTGAGGTAGCTGAGTGGTGGTGTAGAGGGTGTGGTGTAGCTGAGTGGTGGTGTAGAGTGTGTGGTGTAGAGTGGTGGTGTAGAGTGTGTGTGGTGGTGGTGTAGAGTGTGGAGGTAGCTGAGTGGTGGTGTAGAGTGTGTGTGAGGTAGCTGTGTGGTGGTGTAGAGTGTGTGTAGGTGTGCTGAGTGGTGGTGTAGAGTGTGTGGTGTAGAGTGTGGTGTAGAGTGTGGTGTAGTGTGTGGTGTAGAGTGTGTGGTGTAGAGTGTGGTGGTGTAGAGTGTGTGGTGTAGTAGAGTGGTGGTGTAGAGTGTGTGGTGGAGGGTGTGGTGTGAGTGGTGGTGTAGAGGTGTGTGAGGTAGCTGGTGTGGTGTAGAGTGTGGTGGTGTAGTGTGGTGGTGTAGAGTGTGTGGTGTAGGAGTGGTGGTGTAGAGTGTGTGGTGTAGAGTGAGTGTGTGTAGAGTGTGGTGGTGTAGTGTGTGGTGGTGTAGAGTGTGGTGTAGGGTGGTGTAGTGTGTGGTGTGTGGTGTAGCTGTGTGTGGTGTAGAGTGTGTGTGGGAGTGGTGTGGTGTAGTGTGTGTGAGGGAGCTGTGTGGTGGTGTAGAGTGTGTGTGGTGTAGAGTGGTGGTGTAGAGTGTGTGTGGTGTAGAGTGTGTGGTGTAGAGTGTGTGTGGTGTAGAGTGTGTAGTGGTGTAGAGTGTGTGTGGTGTAGAGTGTGTGTGTGGTGTAGAGTGTGGTGGTGTGTGGTGTAGAGTGTGGTGTAGAGTGTGTGGTGTAGAGT